GGTATACTGACACACAGCACCCTTACCCCCCAGAAGTACCTCTACCCTGCCCAGCAGTACCCTTACCCCCCCAGAAGTACCCCTACCCCCCCAGCACCCCTACCCCCAGCACCCCTACTCCCCAGCAGTACCCCCCCAGTACCCTACTGACCTCTACCCCAGCAGTACCCTTACCCCAGAGTACCCCCTACCCCAGCAGTACCCTTACTTACAGCAGTACCCCCTACCCCAGCAGTACCCTTAACCCCCCAGGTACCCCTACCCCCAGCAGTACCCCCCCAGCAGTACCCTTACCCCCCAGAGTACCCCTACCCCGTAGTACCCTTACCCCCAGAGAGTACCCTAACCCCCAAGCAGTACCCCTACCCCCAGCAGTACCCCTACATCCCCAGCGGTACCCCACAGCAGGTACCCCTACCCCAGCGGTACCCCTACCCCCCCACTTTGTTGCCCTGCACACACACAGTACCCTACCCTCCCAGCAGTGCCACTTTACGGTACCCTACCCCCAGCGAGGTACCCTAACCCCCACACACAGTACCCTACCCCCACACACACACAGTACACTTTACCCTCCCAGCAGTACCCTTACCCCCCAGTGCCCTTACCCCCCAGAGTACCCCTACTACCCCCCCAGCACCCTACCCCCCCAGCAGTACCCCCTGCCCCCCAGCAGTACCCCTACCCCCAGCGGTACCCCACCCCAGCGGTGCCTCCTACCCCCATGGTACCACCTACCCTCCCAGCAGTACCCTACCCCCCACACACAGTACCCCTACCCCACGCAGCACCCTTACATACAACACACACAGACACCAGCACCCCCCACACACACAGCACCCTCCCCCCCACACACGCAGCACCCCCACACACACACAGCACCCCCCACACACACAGCACCCTCCCATACACACACACAGCACCCCCCCCACACACAGCACCCCTCACATACAACACTCACACCTGCGCACCCCCCACACAGCACCCCCCACCTCAATGCAGTATGTGTGTATTCAGCAGTGTGTGTGTGTGTGTATTCAGCAGTCTGTGTGTGTATTCAGCAGTCTGTGTGTGTATTCAGCAGTCTGTGTGTGTGTGTGTGTGTACTCAGCTGTGTGTGTGTGTGTACTCAGCAGTCTGTGTGTGTGTGTACTCAGCAGTCTGTGTGTGTGTGTACTCAGCAGTCTGTGTGTGTGTATTCATCAGTCTCTGTATTCAGCAGTCTTGTGTGTGTGTGTATTCAGCAGACTGTGTGTATGTATTCAGCAGTCTGTGTGTGTATGTATTGCATTTGTTGGAGATACTAATAAATATAAGCTTAATTTTATCTATTTATATCATTATTTAAAATTTGTATCATTGAACTCTCTGTGTTCTTTTAAAACAAAAGTTATTAGTTCGGACAACAGTACGAGTTGTTTTTTCTAAACTTAAACCTCAGTATTTGGGTTTAATTGCCGTGTTGGCACTTTAAAGAGACAAAAAGTTGGCATGTATTGCGGTTTGGGCACTCGGGCTCAAAAAGGTTCGCCATCACTGGTGTAGGGGATCTAGAGTGTGTACAGAGAATGTAATGTGTGTGTGTGGGTGGTGCAGTGTGCATAAATGATGTAGTGTATGTTTGGGATCTTTTGTTTGTACGGGTCTAGTTTGAGGGGTGCAATGTGTTGGGTGGTAGAAAGGCCTATATTGTGTGTGTATGTGTAATGGGGAGTGAGATGGGAACAAATATATATATTTTTATTTATCATTATTTAAAAAAACAAAGGAACTTTATATTCCTCCTCCTTTCTTCTTACCTTTGGCCAGAACGTGGAGGACATCGAAAAACCTGGTGGTCCAATGGTTGTGAGTGACACTAGCCAACAGCTGCTACGGCTGCAGGTTGAGTACATTCCTCTTGCAAGCTCTGCTTTTAACCTATGTGTGAGCAGTGCTCCATGCTCATGAGAGTGATATTTATAACCCAGATGAGCTGCAAGCTAGAGGCCCTGGGTGTTCTGTTTCTAGGACAGAGAGCTAAACCTTCCTGCTCCATAAACTTCAGATACCATATTTCTTTGATCTCAAATTTATTTGAACAAGCCAGGTGAAACTACAAAAAGAAATAAACTTCAATCAGTAAAGTATTGCATTCGACAAACAAACAATGATCAATAATACAGGATAACATAGCAAGAACTCACTTTTTAAGCTCTCTCAGGGGTGATAGCTAGAGATGAGAAGTACATGGCTTGCTGTTTACTGTATCTTCCCAAAATGGAGGCTGATACACTTCCTGTACGAGTTCTGCCCATAATGCTATGCCTTCTAACAACTTTATTAAACATACTATTCTAAACAACAAGCACAAATATAATGAATAAAGTCTGGTGGACAGAACACTGGGTCCTCCAGAAGTAAGGTGCCAGTGTGTACGTAAGGGAGACCTGTTATTTCCTCACCAGCCTGTGAAGGCATACAGCAAGACTTTTCATCTTACCAGTCGACCTCTGCCCATGGTCATTTCCCCAGCTCGCTCGATAGCCAATCCAGGACTGCTTCTGGCAGAGAAATCCCTTCCTCTACAGCAGGTGTGGAACCTTTGGCCCTCCAGATGTTTTGGAATACATCTCCTTTGATGCTTTGCCAGCATTATGGCTGTAAGAGCATTATGAGAGACGTAGTCCAAAACATCTGGAGGGCCGAAAGTTGCACACCCCTGCTCTACAGGCTGGTAATCAATTCTAAAGTATAAATGAGAGTGACTGAGGCTTTAAAGGACCACTCTAGGCACCCAGACCACTTCAGCTTAATGAAGTGGTCTGGGTGCCTGGTCCTTCTAGGGTTAACCCATTTTTTTTATAAACATAGCAGTTTCAGAGAAACTGCTATGTTTATGAATGGGTTAAGCCTTCCCCCTATTTCCTCTAGTGGTTGTCTCATTGACAGCCACTAGAGGCGCATGCGTGCTTCTCACTGTGATTTTCACTGTGAGAGCACGCAAGCGTCCATAGGAAAGCATTGTAAATGCTTTCCTATGCGACGGGCTGAATGCACGCGCAGCTCTTGCCGCGTGTGCGCATTCAGCCCAGGAGGAGGAGAGCTCCCCGCCCAGCGCTGGAAAAAGGTAAGTTTAAACCCCTTTCCCCCTTACAGAGCCGGGCGGGAGGGGGTCCCTGAGGGTGGGGGCACCCTCAGGGCACTATAGTGCCAGGAAAACAAGTATGTTTTCCTGGCACTATAGTGGTCCTTTAAGACTACATTTCATAATGCAAAACACATGAAAATAAAAATGTTTATACTCGATTTGGTAATGATTGGTTTAAGTATGTATCAAGCAAAACGAGGCTGTGTCACTAAGGAGTTAAACCTTTTGTTTCCATCACCTTGTGTATAGGTATAATACATTGATTGTGATTCTCGCAATTCACGCAGTGACTCTGTCACCTCAAACTTACCTTTCTCCTTTTGATTCCTCTTCTCTTCCTCGTTCAAAATCTGTTCTTCTCTTAGTCTTTTCTGATCTTTTTCTCTACTACTTTGTCTTATGTATTTTTTATTTACTTGACAATTTTGACAAAGGGTTGAGCTTAAGGCTAGCCTCGCTCTTTGTTAGCATGACACCCTTTTGCCACAACTGTCAAGCGTAGAAAAAAAAGACAAGACTAAGTAGGGACTACAGAAAACTAGATCAGAAATGAAAAAAAGAAGAACAGATTCTGTGAGATGAAGAGGACACAATAGGAGAAAGGTATGAGGTGACAGTGCTGCTCTTATTCTCTACAAAACAAACCCAAGGGGATGCCCATGGCAACTAGGTAACAACAGAATTCAATGTACTGAGTAGAAGAAAGAAATTACCTTTGTGAAGATGTTAATAGTGTTCCATGTAAATTACAGTCAATTCTCCCTGGGAGCATGGCGAATGAAGTACTACATTAAGACACAAGTGAAACCATTTGAGGACACATTAAAGGTTCCCCTTTTTTAATGCTAATGTCATATTTGCCTTTATTTGTGAATATGCAATAGCCCCAAGTCTGCCAAGAGTGAAATACAGAGCTCCAATGAATTATAAAGATTTTATATTGTTGTTTTAACAGCTTTTATTATTTATAACACTGTGCATATGGTCTATTTGCATTTATTATTGTTGCTTTAAATTTATAGGGAACATAACTTGTACTTTACAGCTAGTTATTAATTTGTTTATTTTAGTGTTTATGTGAGTTTCGTTTCTTATTCTGTGCCCAGATTTTTACATTTTAATTTTGAATCGACAATTTCTCAGGGTCCCAGAGTTTTGAGATTTATTTTTCAAATTCTACAATAATTTGATCAAACTTCAGCCTCCCAGTTCGTGTTTTGGTGTGTCATTATATGACATAGCTGACAGTCTTCGTCATACTTGGGTATCTTCAAAACCCTACAAGCATGGATATCTACAAGACAGGGTCAGTGAGAAGGCGGCGAGGCCCGAGAAGAAGATATATTGTGTTTGCCAATGACAAGCACACCCTTAAAGTAAGCATGTTGGTGCAGTGCTATTCCAGGACAAACCATGCACAGAGACCTGCTGAAGATCTCTTTCTTTCCACACCTTTGAATCCCACACCGGCTAGTAATAGCACACAGCCAAGCCGGCGCTCCCCTGTCGGCCTCTGCCTGCGTCCATTGCGGCCCACCTGGCATAAGGCCTGCTACAAGACCTCAATATAAGAATTTGGATTCTGAATTAATTCTGCCTAATGATCTACAAATGTTCCTTATTTTTTAAACTTCATGGTTATGG